TATAAAGTAGATAATCTTAATACTTTTAATAAGTTTAAGGCTAGGGATTTTAAATAGTTATAAGACTAGGTTACCTTACTTATAAAGACACTTTACCTTTAGTAAGAGATATATACTACTACCTAAAGCGTTATTAGTAATATAAGCTTAGGTAGTAAAAGTAATAAGTAACCTTACCTAGTAAAAGAACTTAGTAGCCCTATAGGCTTATAAGGAAAAAAGCGCTAGGCTAAGGCTATTAACCTAAGTAATAATAATAATAAGTAAATAGTAAGATTAAAGTGTAAATAAATAACCTTAAGGCATAAGGCTATAATATAAAGGAGATAGAAAATAGTAGATATTACTTTCTTAATTAGCTCTTAAAGTATTTAGTAAAAGAAGATAAGGTCTTTTAAGGGGGGGTACTTATTATAAGATAAGGTAGTAAGTGCCTATAGTTAGGAGATAGATAGATAGTAAGGACTAGATACCTAATATATATATAATACGTTATATATACCTTAAGTATATATCCCTTTAGTAAGTAACCTTTTATAAAAGGAGGGTTAACTATAAATACACCTACTATCTATTACTTATCTTATTTTATATTATTTATTTCGCTCCTTATTATTATTTATTTTACTTTACTACTCTGCTGTTACGCTTTACCTTTACACTACGTCACTTTATAACACTACTATAGCCTAGTTTTATTCTATTAGAACTATAACGGCTGCTAGGAAGGCTGTGTTATTTACCTAGAGCACTTATTATCTATTACTTTTTTCTTATTATTATGTAACTTATACTATAGTTCTTTTATTCTAGGGAGTTATCTGTCTGTTCCTAGTTTTCTTGTTTATATAAATACTGTTACTGCCTATTGTCTGCCTGTTAGGTAGGGTAATATGGCCTGTAGCTTGTTAGGTTATAACACCTTATAGGTAAGATTTTTTTAAAGCTATATATAAAATTACCTAAAGTTAGAGGTTTATTTAGGTTAAAGCGTTCTTAGTATATTATATCTTTAAGCTTATTACTTTTATTAAGGTATATATATTTCTTTACTATATAGTAGTAAAGAAAAGATTTATAAAAATAATAAAAATAATAAAAATAATATAATAGTATAAATTAAGATAGTTATACTACTACTTAATATAGCCTTTTTAGTAGCTATTATAGTTTTAATAAGGTAAAGCTAGGCTATAGTAGTGTTATAAAGTAATATAGTATAAAAGTAAAGCGTAATAGTAAAGTAGTAAAGTAAGATAAATAATAATAAGAAGCTAAATAAATAATATAAAATAAGATAGGTAATAAATAGAAGGTATATTTATAGTTAACCTTTTTTTTATAAAGGGTTACTTACTAAAGAGATATATACCTAAGGTATATATAATATATTATATATATATTAGGTATTTAGTCCTTACTATCTATCTATCTCCTAACTATAGGCACTTACTACCTTGTCCTATAATAATAGCTAGCTAACTTTAAGGTTTTTAGTATTTAGTTTCTTATTAATATTATTAATTATAGCTTATATATAAGCTATATTACTATTATCTTACTTTATATATTATTAGATCCTTTTATATATATCTTAAGGAAAGCTTACTTTATTATTAGATCTTTTAATATCTTTTATTTCCTTATTTAGGCTCCTAGCTAAGGTAGTTAGGTTTTTTCTAAGGCTAGAGGAAGTTAAATTTATCTTAAGTATAAATATTATAAAATACTATTAAGTAAGTATTAAGGTTAACTTACTTAATAAAAGTAATTAAAGTATTATAGCTAGTTTCTAGATAGTAAGGTTTTTACTAATAGTAAGTAAAAGTAAGTACTTAGTTAATAGTATTTATTTTTATTATTATTTTATTAATTACTAGGTAATTAGTTAAAGCTAAGGTTATAAGGTAGCTTATATAGCTTCTTATTAATTAAATTACTAAGGTTAAATACTAAAAAGTATTTAGAGAATATATTATAAGTTAATTACTAAAGAGCTATAAAAGTCTATCTTTATATATATTTAAGTTTATCTTATATATAAGTCCTAGTTATTCTCTAAACTACCTTACTAACTAATAGTTTAAAGGTTATATAAGTACTTACTTAGGTATTTACTAAGTACTTATCTTACTTATAAATAAGTGCTTATTCTTTTTCTTATCTTATACTTATAATTATATAACTTATACTATAGTTCTTCTGTCCTAGGGAGTTATTTGTCCTTCTTATATCTTGTCTATATAAATACTGCTACTACTAGTTATCTACCTGTTAGGTAGGGTAATATAGCCTGTAACTTATTAGGTTATAACACCTATATAAAGGCAGCACCTATATATTAATTTATAGCGCCTATATATCAATTCCTAATTAATTAACATAAGGATATTACTACTAGTTATACGCTTTAATATTAATTATAATAATTATTTCTATTTACCTTTTTTAACTCCTTAGTCCTATAGAGCTTTTTCTTTTATATCCTTCTAGTAACTAGTTTATTTGGTCCTAGCCTCACTCTGGTGCCCCCCTAGGGCCCTGCCCTAGGCACCTGACATAGATATACTAAACGCGTGTTATAGTTGGCCTTTATTTTTAAAAACATGGTGTCCTGTATTCCATAGTATCCACCACCGACGCTGGGCGACAATTTTGGTCTACTTGAGAGACAGCTCGGCGGCACAATCACCCTCGTGAGCCATCCTCTGGTGCAGGCTTCTCGACGTATCTGCCGTGAGTTGAGTTTATAGCTGGCAAAGCCTTGGCCTGCGATGGTGAAAACGGTGGGTGATTGGGGGATGATGTGTCGCGAAGCCGGGTTAGGCGGCGCAGAGTGGCATGGTGGGCTGGCATGGTGGTAGGCTGTTTGTCGTTGTTGTCGTGGAAAATCTATGGTCCTGGACCTGGTCCGGACGGAGGAGAGGGGCGCATCCTCACCAGAGTTTGCAGTGCATACTAGTGTACCTACGTCAGGCTTCTGGGTGCAGTTTGATTGGCACTTGTGCCATCTGTGTCTCTACCAAAGGCATAACCAAGGCATCACAATACACCGCCTGTGGTTATCGTGCAGCGTCGAGGATGTAGCACCCGCCGGCACGCAGATGCAGTGTACCGGCGAGTGAGTCGACTGTTCCGTTCCGGCTTCTTGGCCGGGTTGAAATGTGGTCGGAAAAACCTGCCACCTAACAAAAAAAAAAAAACCCTGGCTCGTGCAGGTGCCGCTTGTACCTGTGTACCTCATACAAGCTAACAGCCTAGCTCGAAACAACCGCGCCAGTCGGCTTACTAATCAGAGCAGATGGCTGCAAGCAAAAATTGGGTTTGACACACTCTTTCTTGCAGGGTGCCATCGGCGGTGCGACGGAACGTCGTTGAAATAGAGTTTAATATCCTCCGGCCGACGGTCGGGCGTTGACGGGACGAGACCGTAAGGGACCCTGGCTTGACGAAGCGATAGTTAGGTATATTCATAGATGGAGTAAGCCCCTGATAAGCAGCGGCCGATTTGTACCAGCGTGATATGCAACGTCCTTATCTATGGAACCTAAGCCGGTTAACCTGTCTACTGTATGAGTTAGATGCCGTTTTCGACCTGACCCGCTGTACGGGCCCACTAGTTGCAAGACTTGGGCCCCTCCGAGCATCTTCCACACATCGCCAGACGTCCAAGTCTCCACATATCCAAATCTCACCCGCGCGTCGACTATGGGCCCCGGCCCCGCCAAGTGACGCTCTCGGCCTGTTACGCCAGCACCTCTTTTACCTAGTCCCCGTCCTATATGGCATATCGCCATTCAGACTGCCAAAGAGCAGCAAGGTAGACGAATGACACAGATGTAGGTGTTTGATCTGGTAGATAGGCATCTAGGTACCCTGACATGAGCATCAAGTGCAACATTTTGAGAAGAGACCCCGTCGTAAGTGCCCACTAGCAACTCGTCAAGTTCCCTAATTAGAATGTGGGGAAATAGATTAATTGATCGTTACGCAAGGGTGATCGGATCCCTGAGAAGATTGGGTTATATGTCTGTTGGCATGGCCCTTCGCTTTTGGCACGTCTCTTATTCCAAGGTCACCTGGTACTTGTCCCCAGCCGTCGACAACATGCAATACTCTAGCGCTACCGTTGGCCTAGTGCCCTTCTTGGAGACTGCTTATGCTGCGTTTGGGCTCATTGAGTCTAATTGAACATACAGATTCGATACCAATGGTGACCTCATATTCGAAGTGAGTCGGTGCGTCGAGCCCGCAGAAGGGTTCCCAAGTGCTTGCTGCCTATCTGACGAGCGGCAGCAATACTGATGAGGATGCAGGTTCTAATTAGTCTTTCTCCGTCAGCTAAGCAAAACTTGTAACATTTATTCATTTACAGGTATATTTCTTCAGACGACTTCCAGCAAGCACAAGTACAGGTCCCTCCTGCCGTCTAATGAACGCTGCTCTAGCCCGAGACCCGAAATCGTCGACACCATTAGGTACTCTCCTCTCCGCCCCAAGCTTGTCCTACAAAGTATACAAAAGCACCGCGACACAGGAATCCTACGCCTGCATCATCGGCTCACTGTCACTGCTACTGTCACCGTCGGAGACGGAGGTAGAGTCGTATTCCCTGGGACGGTTGATTCTGGGCAGACTGGTCATACGTCGACGTGCCTTTTCGATGGGCCCCAGGCCTGTGCTACGTGTTTCCCGAGAGCGTCCACCTTAGCTGCAATGCTTAACGTGGGCCTCGCTCTGACAATTGAAATGATAGCAGTTGGCTGGTCTGTCTTGTTGTTGCTGCTGCTGCTGCTGCTTCTCTGCAGCAGTGGCGGCAAGTCTGAGACGTAGGCAGTAACAACAGTGCTGCTGCTGTTTGGGCACTTGCCTGCGTTAATGCTGTCGAAGAAGTCTTGCATGTCTGCCGACGCGGCAAGCTAACACGCCAGGGCCATGCCGGCCAAGGTTTAGCTAAGGACCCTAATGATGGGCTCCAACCGGGTGCAAAGTCGGTCCAGCTAGGCCTTGTTGTCTGCAGGCACAGGCGGAGTTGCTGGACGGGGGATAATTGGCTGTATACGTCCAACGAGGATGGGCAGGTTTCGAGACGGAGGCTGTACAATTCTCCTGAAGGCGTACAGCTGTGAAGACGGACAAGGCTTGGTGATTCGTCGTGGATGGCGGTGACGGGGCATGCACCACCTTGTAGTTGTTTTTGTTTGTGGAAGAGACGGCCGTCGAGAAAGGCGCCACCAACCAGAGCGATAGTAATGGCTACGACAGCGACGGCGACGGCGGCGGCCAAGGTGGCAAAGCAATGCGTTGGCGAGGATCTGTTTTGGCCAGGTGATGGCGGCGGTACTGGCGGCAGGGGGGCAGAGGGAACGGAGGACCGGGTGGTTGAGAGCCAAACGGGTTCACCATGTCGAAGACTTGGGGGATGTCGGGAACGTAGTAGGAGGGCAGGGGGCAGGGCATGATCAGCGGCGTGATGTAGGTGGACAGAGACAAGTCGAAGTGTAGCGAGATGGGCTTGGACGGGTCTGCGACCAAGCCGGAATGGAAGCAGAGCTCACACGACTGGAATTGGGAGTCAAGGGATGGTTCTGATGTCGTCGTCCTCGTCGTCCTCGTCGTTAGGCTTAGGGTTAGGACGACGATTGACGAATCGGCGACGGAGAAGACATTGATACCGGTGGCGGGGATACGCAAAGAGAAGCGCACGGCAGCAAAGGTATCGCGGGGGTGTGAGGTGACTGGGCGTTGACGAAGGGCTGGGTCGAAGTCCATGTCGGTTGGGGCAACTGGAATGCCGTAGGCAGTCAGCAAGGAATCAACAACAGACGGACGGATAGATTATGAACGAACGAATAACGGGCGGCAAATCCGAGACGGGCAAACAACCAACGACGACGGCTGTTAGAAGAGCCGAAGCAATTACATAGGAACCCCCATCCCTGTTGCCACTCGGCGATGAATCAATTACAGGTTTAAAGAGAACAAATTTACCAAAAGTATAATCAATGTACGCACAACAGAGGTATTCAATCGGGGAACTGGGCTAGGGCTACGGTCGTGGACTGGTCGGTGTGTTGTTAGCTTGTTTGGTCGTTTTCTTTTTTTCTGCTCGCGTGTTTCCACCAAGATTCCCCCAAACATCCATCTCTCCTGATTTTTCAATCATGTACACGACAGCCAGTAAGGCATCTAGGTATATTCACGCCCTGTCGAGCTGATGTCCCCCTCCTTGCCTCTTTTTGTCTCGAGCTGGACGATACACGGAGCGATACCAGTGCCACCACGTCTGAGTTGCTGCATCTGTCACCACTTGCTGTTGCTGCCGTTGCTGCCGTTGCTGCTGCTGCTGCTGTTGCTGATGATGTTGCCCCTCACCATTGGTTTCGCCTTGTACTAGTCGGCTTCTGTTGTTCTCATTAGACTTTAGCAAGACTGCTGTTGGCCTTTTTGAGGGCCGGCTGAACCGTCGGCCTGTCGGCTAATGGAGAAACTGGATAACGCCTCTCCCAGGCTGGAATCGACGGAGCCTTGGGAGTACATGTTGTCCTCCTTTTTTGCCAACACGTGCTCTGCCTCCGACTCTTCCTCCTCTGCCACGCGTGTCTCCTCCTTCTCGTCCTCACCTGCCTTACCTGGCTCCTGCCTTGCCTGCTCTTAGCTCTTGACTCTTACACTTGTAACCTCCTGCCTTGCCTTTTAATTTTGCTAATATGATTTCTCTTAACTGCCTTTCACCTGCTATTGAAATTACTTCATTATTTAACCTACTGTGCAACCACTCCCATTTTGCATCGGTACCAACCTAATTCAATCCAGAAATTCAGCAAACTTTAATTAACACAAGTATTAGCTACTGGATAAGTATGTATTTTATCTGGTACAACTTTAACTTTCGGAGATAGAATTTACTAATAGGTATTTGAAGGATTACCATGACTTCGCCCAACAAACATTCTCGACGCAAGTCCCTCCACGAACTGTTCACAAACCTGGACATACCGCACGTTGAGAGCCATTCACCTCCTCCCAGTCCAAAGAAAAGAAAGATGATGCGAAACGGTCTTCACTCCACGATATCTAGGGCTTGGCCCGTAGGATCCGTCCAAGGCAAAGAGGTCATGTCGATGACGATCCGCGCCGATGACGTGTACCTCCAATACTCCAAGGATCAAGATCCCAAGAAGCTTTTTGAAAAGGCTTCTAGCTGGTTTTCAACGCTCCAGAACACGAGCTTGAACAGCACGCAGACAGATCTCGTACTCAAAGAGACGCACGACGCGATCATTCGTGCCATATTCGGATCAAACATGATCGAGAGAGCTGGTCTTGGATGGGACATCACTGTTCATCTCTGTCGCAAGATACTTGCCGGCGAAGATGTTAAGGACATCCCCGAGCGTTCAATCGAGTACCAAAGCGAACTTCTTGAAATGTACAGCAAACAAAGCAACCTCAAGGGTATGCCTGCTCAGTACATCCTCCGAGGCCGCCGCGAAATCATCCAGCATGCGCGCGCTTTCCAATACATCATCCACACCTTCGTCGTTGAGCAACAAGATCTTACCGAGGAAGTCATTAAGGAAACACATCGTATCCTTACCAAAGGAGTACCTATCGTCCAAGAGGGATTTCCAGATATTCCTGCAGAAGATTACAGTGGCATCTATCGCAAAGTCCATGTCGGTGCGGGCTCGACTATGTTTACTGTTCCCCAATTCATTCCAGCCAAAATGAGAGAGCTATGCGACAACCTCAAGGCAGAGCTGGAGGAAGCAAAGGAACGGAACTGCATTGATCCATTCTCAATCGCGTCCAAGTACTCAATGGAGTTTGTGCAAATCCATCCATTCCAAGATGGAAATGGACGAACCTGTCGCATGATACTCAACGCCATCCTCTGCCGTTATGCAGGTATCGTCATCCCGATTGGAGAACAAGGAGAGGAAAGGGAGGAGTATATCAATATCAAGAAGCGGGCAAGCGAGACAATGGATGGACATGGGGAATACGCTACATTTGTGCTTGCGCGAGCTGTCACTCGCCTTCGAGGACTCAAGAAGAAGCTAGCGGGCAAGGCTAAATAAGTATCATAGAGACCTTCGAATGAGACCTAATGTTCTTAAAGCATTCTCTTTCTGCTCCTTGAAACGCCATATCTATAAGTTCCACCAGATGCGGCTGCGCAATATCACTTTTATGCTTCAGCAAGCTAAATCGGGATTCAGTTCATCAAGAATCACATCCGAGCAGGCTCGCTCTCCTTTCCCACACTCAAGGGCTTCTCTCAGAGCAGCCTCAATAATGACAGAACCGCAGCCCGTATTTACAATAAATATACCATTTTTCATTGCTCCAGAAATCTGGAGGCCCAATTAGGCCTGTTATATGTTCGTTCAATAGATAGTTAAGGGGCACTATATCAGGCTTCTCTAGGAGACTATAGACGGTTTGGCAGTAAACTACATCATACTTAGCTTCTTCTTCAGGAGGAAGTTGTTAACAATCATGTTATATAATCTTGAAGTTAAAACCGCCACCTTATTCACAAGTCACTACACCAAAATGACTTTTGGTTCACAATTATGTAATTAGTTGATGTATAGTCATTACAGTGGCATACCTTTCCAATTACACGCATTCCTATGATCCCCAAGTCAGGCCTAAGGGGTCTCTCCTAGGCAAACGTCCAGGCACCTCTCCCCATATTCCAGCTTTTGCGCTCCTTTCATCATTATTTGGGTTAAGTAAAACAGCCAACCTCAGAAAGATAGCCATGTCCGCCGTTACCTCTGCAACAGCGTTTATAGTATTGCAGAACCATATGTTTTCAGAAGCCATCCACTTGGCGTCAAACTCAATAAACCCCGCGCCAGCAGATGTATGTGATGATTTCACAGTTCGGAACAAACCTTGATCAAAAGGCTCATGGGGCGGGGTTCCCATGCGGATAAGAAAGGCATCAATAGGTTCATTCTTCTCTAGATACCCTCAGGCAGCATTGCAATTGTTGCCTCACAGTCAGTAGTGAATTCAGACTTGAAATCGGCAAGATAGTCGTCACCGACGTACTTGGGAGCGCCGAGGGCAATGACACCGGGTTATCGGGAGCGCAAATCATCACATCGAAGAAGAGCCATTGTCGACTGGAATCTAACGGCTGCGAAGAGTATGGATACCAGATAGCCACAATTAGTAAGGAACGGTAAATTGATCAGGCTGGAGAGGTCTCGCAACGTAAGACCTCAGGTGATAGTAAACTGATTCGTTGCTTTGAAATACGACGAACATATGTCACGTAACGCGGAACCATTCCCAGTGTTCACAGCAATGGGGCGTATCACGCCGAATACGCTAGGCTATCAACATGACTCCACTGCGGAGGCCCGAAACAGGGAAGGTCGGATCCTTCCGAGCAAGGGTACATCGTCAGTGCTCCTCAAGAGGGTCGAGCTCGGCATGACCCGAGTCTAGACTCTAGATAATCTTCGTTTGTGAATTACTCGACATTAGGTTTCGAGCGACGTGAAGTCATCAAATCGTGCATGCGGAGAAGGTTCCGTGCCCATTTGTAAGACATCCGAGTCGAGCGCCTCGTTGATTGTTAAAAGTTTCAACGCAAGAACACTGCCCAGACTGAGTTTTGAAAACAACTAATTACTTATATCCGTCCATTAAAGATGTCGATGAATGGGCTTACAGTGGAAAACACCCTTCCGTCTCTTGGTTTATCGTCATTGACTTAGTCATTTGGCTTATCAAAGGAAACGACCGTGTCCAATCACTGTATGGGTTGCCTGAAGGTCGGTGAATGTCTGAGGGTTCAAAGGTGCCACAAGTTGTAACCCCGTCGAAATATGACAGCACTCGTAGACTGTTTCGTGGACGCTGGGCTAATTTGTGTGATGCTTGATTACAATTAATAACACTTTGATCCACTGTTCTCGACGCCCGAATTTACAAATGTCCCTGATGAATTCACAGCTGCTGACCTAAAGTGTATAACATTATATAATGGGGGTACGTAATTTTGTAGTTATGCCACTAAGCCCAGATGAATTTATTTTGAAATTGTCTAGTTCGTGCTGTCTGTAGTTGAATTATAATTGCTGTTGTATGGAATCCCGTTTCGTCTTCAAATGGGCTTTTGCATATTATTAATGCTCAATTTCGAGAGTAAACCAAGCCTGCCTCTTTAGCGTCTGCATAAACGCATCCGCGCTACCCGGAAACCCCCGAGTCCGGAGGTCGAATGCGGAGTAGATAGCCTCTTCTCGGTAATGCCGAAACCCCGCACGCGTCGAGATTGTTCCGGTATGTGGAGTTAAGCAAGCTAGCGTCGACTAATACTACCTTTGAATTTACGGATCGCATTACTCGCTCAGAGCGAGGAGCTACTCTATTTCTGAAAGCTCTGTTTTCCTGTATCTGTTTGCTTCCATGCAGCGTCTATAAGTCTGTACTTAGCGACAGACACACTTTACTCTTGATACGGTGTATCACAACAGCAAATACTACAAACCACCAACACGGTCTCCTTGACATCGACTTTCCTTCAGCGCAACCTAGGACGTACTTTTGACAGCTCACAAAGCTACATCCCGCAATCATGTCGACTGGTGTTGTCTCCGCCCTTCAACCTCCCCCCCTAGGTCAGCCAGGGCCAGGTAGCACATATGTCGATGCGGACACACTCAGAACGGCCTTCGCCCTCGCCATGTCTGCGATGTATAAATCTGAGGTGCCGTTGTATGGAGATTTGATTCAGATCGTTCAGCGAGTCAATCACGAAGCGCAAGCCAAGAGACTGAATGGCCTCGACGATGCGGTTTTTATGGAAGCAAGTACCGAGCGTCTCACTCTTGAGAGACACGGCGCAATTCGCCTTGGAACCCCCAAGGAGCTTCACACCGTGAGGCGAATATTCGCAGTGCTTGGGATGCATCCTGTTGGATATTACGACCTTTCAGTTGCCGGATTACCTATGCATGCAACCTGCTTTCGACCGATATCGACCAAGTCCCTTCAACGCAACCCCTTTCGAGTTTTCACCACTCTTCTTCGCCCGGACCTACTTACATCGGGGACGGCTCGCGACGTCTCTCTGGAACTCCTTGACAAACGCAACATTTTTAGTGATGCTCTCATCGAACTCCTTGTTGCGGCAGAAAATTCCCCGGACGGTTGTCTGACCTCCGAGCAAGGAGAGCAATTTGTTTCTGAGGCTCTCAAGACCTTCAGCTGGCAGTCTATAGCTGCAGCAACCTATGAGCAGTATAACTTGCTATGCAACGAGCATCCCGTCCTTGCGGATATTGCTTGCTTCGGCTCTTCTCATATCAATCATCTGACACCGCGGGCCTTGGACATCACCGCTGCCCAACAGGCAATGGTTGCCGCTGGAATGGCAGTCAAAAGCCGTATCGAGGGCCCGCCAGTAAGGAGATGTCCCATCCTCCTTCGGCAAACTAGCTTTCTTGCTCTTGAAGAAAAGATTCGGTTCGCTGGAACTGAAGAGCAAGACTTTGTCGACAGCTTCCACAAGGCCAGATTCGGCGAGATTGAGGAAAGGGGTGCGGCAGTAACCCCCGCTGGTCGGCAACTTTATGATGAGTTGTTGAACGAGGCAATGGAGACAGCACAGAAGACTGGGAAAAGTAATGACCCGGTCGCTGTGGACCAACTTTTGGAGCAAGCCTTCCAGAAATATCCCGATGACTGGGAGGAGTTACGAAGTCGGGGCCTTATATACTCCCAGTATAAGTGTACCCATGACGCCATGACGAAGATGAAAAATCTGTCAAATCTGGCCAGTATGGAATCGTCTGTCTTCCTGGACCAACTCGTCTCTGAAGGTATTCTGAAGGCCTCGCCCATCACGTACGAGGACTTTCTGCCCTTCTCGGCTGCAGGCATATTCCAGTCGAACTTGCAGAAAAATAGCGGAGGGGAACCAACTGTTACCACTAAGATGCCGGTAAAGTCGGACATGAAAGCCTACGAGAATGCTCTTCAGACGGAGATACTTGACTCAAACGAGCTTTATGAGCAAATTCAAAGGAATAGTCTAGACCGGTGTGCTAAGGAATTGGGTGTAAGCTTGGACATGTGGTAATGCTTTTTGTTTTTTGAAACTAGGTACAACGCTGGCTCATCAAGCTGTGTCGGTGTTGATACATGTACTCCGGTAGAAGTTTAGAACTAGAACAACACTTTCATCACAACTCCATAACATCCAAATAGTATTTCGCCCTTTGTTTCTTAGACGTCTCCACCCTCATATTCTGCAGTACTCCTGATCATACTGCTGTTTTCATCTCGTATTGAGTCTAGCTTCCCAAAGCTAGATGGAACTGTATGGGTTTTCACCCATGCTGCATGGTGACATACGCCGCGAGTCTTACGACTGCTGCGAGTAGCTACAGCGACTCATCAATTTCGAGGATGAAATTGTAGTTGATTTCAATGCCGGTTCTAGAGTTGTTTTCAGGCTGGAGGGAAATAAACTTAGCACTTTGACAAGATGCGTCTCAGGTTTCAATCTTCTCTCACTCCCTGCAGTAACTCCTGCACCAACCACTCAGACCCATGGGGGGTCGTCAAGGCGTCCAATCCCATGATCCAGTCCTGCACTATGCAACTTTTCCTGCGGTCATGCCATACCTATGTCCTTCATTGCAGACCATGTCAACGGTTCACTGAGAGGATGTTTCGAATATGTCTCGAGATGATGTTGCCGACTCCCATCGCTCAGCAATGATGATAAGAACGGTTGATCATACCATGCATGTGGTAACCATATTGGTTTGTCTAGTAGTTTCTCGTACACGCTTGGGTCTCCATAAACAGTAGAGGTACGTTAAACCGCTGAGAAACGGTCTGTGTAGGCTACCCCGAGTGAACTGAACTGAAGAGCTTTGGTATAGTCGACGATATTGAACACACATCTCTCGTGCTCAGATAGTGCACCCCTCAGAGGCTCGCTCCGTGATTTAGGAATCAGCTGTCATCACATTTGCAGTACCATCTGGTGTTGGATGGGTCTTAAGGAACCCCACCATAAAGTGACGATGCAGCAACAGAACCGATTGATCCTAGGAACAAGAAGTGAATACCGACAGTGGATGTGATCGTGATCAGTCCAACTGACCGGCCCTGTTCGTGCGCTATTCTTGCAGCTCCTGACGGATGCCTTCAACCGTGGCCCTGTGACTGCAATTACATCGCCCAGTCACAGAAGAGTACGGGCTATCAATCATCTTTGACCACAAGTGACGCAATTTGATCGCGCTACGGGGCCGAGTTTTGGCTGAAAACAGGCATCGGAGTGACACTGGTATTCACCATCATGAAGTAACGAGAACGCCGGTATGCTTACAATTCTGCCTATATTGTCTAGACTTAAAGTCCGTCACCTCTCAATATCTCCCAAGCTTATTTTACTGCTGACGACGCAATAAGCACATTAACTCAACATTGACTAAAAGCTGTTGAAGCCATGTAATAGAGATACTGTTTGTTGGTGAATTGATAAGCTTAAGTAAAGGCCGCCGCTGGCAGAAGCTCTGAAAGCACGATATGAAGCCATAAGCCCTAGTGCATCTTTTATATCCTAGGTTTCTGGTTTTACTAAGGCACAATGTAGGGAGTTCAATCTGACAAAATGGCGCAACGTTACTAAACGTACACAATCAGTTAATGGTCTTATGCAACCCTGCTGAGGACCTGGTCGAGTAAGTGTAATTAACCCAATGCTCCTCGTTAGGCAAGGGCTTTCCATCCCTGTAGGCCCAACGCTCTCTGCTCTCGGCGGTGGATGGTGGTACCGCATTCCAGTGTGCACTTCAGGGTTAGAACAGGCTCATGTTGAATGTCAAGCCGGGAACTTCTTTCAGCTGATACTTTAGTGATAGAATTAGCTTGGGTCCACTGTCAGATTGGTGACTTGCGACCCACAGAAGTCTCCCCATGCTTTTGTATGATGGTATATTCCAGTATTACTGGCCTATCTCATCGGCTTTACCTGAACCTTCGACCACAATGCGGCTTGGCGGAGAGCTCCAGGTTCATCACCGCTTTACATCAACCGTACTGCCACTCAAAACAAGGTAAAACCTGATGCAGGATCCACCCGTGACTTCATTGTAGTATTTTGTGGTTTTTGTAACCAATGATGTCCCGAAACGCAATCTTCTTACAGTGTCGCGTCTCCCGCACCATTGAAGAAGGTCTCATTGAGAAGACTTAGCATCACCTTGACACCCTCCCATTGTTCTGCTGCACTGCCTTCAATCTGATGTGCTGGCAGGATAAATCCACAGTCCCCAGTGTCTCGAAGCTCAATCAGATAAGACCAGGCTGCTTTACCAACAGCATAGGCATAATCAAAACTCCCGCCTGTTGTGGGATACAAGGTCGCGCAGCTTGGGCCGTAGGTGAAAGTGACACCCTCGACTTCCCTTATGGCATCCGAGGTGATCTGTGCTAGCGAGATGTGTTGCCCCAAGGTAGGAATATAGTAGGTACAGTTGAAACCAACCGGTGCAAGGAAAAGCTGACTGTAACTGTGCCAGTCAATGTAAAGCTTAAGCCCACTACTATCTCGCAGTTGATCTACTAGCTTGCGGAGGCCCTGTATCTCCGGGGTATCTGCTGGTTCAACGCCTTTGTATGTTTGTGAACACGGGTCCGCGGACGCACCAAGTGGGTTGGCATCCCACTTATATGGCCAGTTTCGGTTGATGTCTCTTCCATAACAAGTTGAGTTAGTTTCCTGTGGAGGCGGTTGACGATTTTTTCTCCACAATCGTTCGGTGGTTTGGGTGTACACAAATCCTTTACCTCGATTAGTCGGGTTCTCCTAAGGATTTTATGACATCTACGTGCCATCAGGGTTTACGATTGGAAAGACCCAAAAGTCATATTTATCCACAAATCCGGTCGTGGCGTTGTCGATACCATAGCCTTGTATCAACTGAAGAGAAAGATACTCAAGAACCTATTTAAGGGTTTCGGTCAGCTGGGTGCAGACAAAATATCGCGTTCTGCGACCTACAGGAGCAACAATCCACTCCCTTGCATGGACCGTTCCGTGCCACAAGACGGCTGGTTGACCGGGGCCATTAGCGCCCCAAATGTGAATGCCAAATATTTCTCTTCCTTCATGAGAAGTCCCCGAAGATACAAGCTTTGAATTATTGGGGAACCTTTCGTACAAGGCTTTGAAATATGCCTTGTGGTCTTCGTATGGGTGATAGCTTTTGTACCAGGACAGATCATTGACTTGTCTCTTCCACATATCGTTCGCAGCGGACTCTGCAGAAATCGAACTGGATAAGTCGCTGTGCATGACGTGATAATTCAGGTTGAGTTTCATGAATGCGTCAATCTGGTCAGGCGAAACCGCGATATCGATATGCATGTTTCTGACTGTGTTCCATTCGTCGAATTTTATGGTTTCTAGCTTTTGCTGCACGAAAGCCATTTTGGTACCGGTCTTAACTCGAAAGACTTGGTACCCGTCATAAGACAAAGAAGCGCCGACAGCCACCAAAGACGCGGCCGCTATGCTCAGTGAAATGAGCTTCATTATTGACACGCTTGATGGCTGGGAAAATTGTGCTGAAAATGCATTCAGTTCTGTGTTGGTAGTGATCCTTCCGTACTTATCATTAACACTTGGAGACTGTAACATCCCATCACCTGCACCATAATTATGATTCAAAATCGAACCTGATTTCATCTGATGGTATAGCCTTGAAGCCTCAACCCCTCAGTTGTCGAGAGAGGGGAATAGAACATTCCACTCCCTGGTTAAACTCTCGCCTTCCGATTCGATTTTAGACAGCTCTTAGTGAGCTTGGCAAGCTTGGCATAGGTGCCTTATTGACAGTGCCCCATCACCATTCCATAAGACAACGTAATTTTCCTGCAGTCTCATCTGCAAGGCTAGTTTCTCTGATAGATATCCAATGTTAGATATTCATCTCTTTTTAACTGTTGTACGAGGTCCAAAAGTCTATCATTTTGATTAATACCTAAGGTTGTCGTTGCCGAACTAACCGTTTGCCTCGGACTACTTGATACAATCCCGCCATTCACTTATCAAAGTAAGATGCTGAAGTCGGTACCAGAGACTAGGTAAGTGATGTTGTATCGTGATGATGGGTGCCCATGGCAATGCGGTAACCTGCTCTAGCCTCTGCGTATGATGACTGTTATCCGTGAAGCTCGTGATGTGATTGAGTGGACTTCTTAATGTAGTTCCTAATATTGAGTGGTTCAAACAACTCCAATATGTGTTTTTGATGAGATTCCGATACTCCTAATACCCATTTAGTTGGTATGACTTTCACAGGTATGGGATACTTTTCGACGTTGGACAAGAACAACGTTGAACAGTACCAAGTGTGAGCAGTCAAGAGCCTCAGTGAAGAAAAGAAAGGAAAATACAGGTGTGTAGTAAGGATAAGAGCCAAACAGACGCATTCCTACACATCGTACGCCCAATTAGTAATCGTGTTTCAGTAGAAGCTACTAAGGAATCCGAAAATAGCAATAGAACTGCTGTCTGTGTCGGGGAGGTACTCCGTAGTTTGGATAAAATGGTTGCTAGGTATTAGGGTGGGGTGGCAAGTGGGGGGGAAGACATCGAGAAGGTAGAGGAGAGCCAGTGGTGGGGGCAACAGTGACTCGGCACATGTGGTACCGAGACAGACCAGAAGAGTTCTCTCCTCATGATTTAAGGATCAGGGCTAATTAGCACAGGCCGCCGTCCTTTGCCGCACTTAATACGACGGTTGTCAGGGGCACGTGCTGCTGTCTTGGATGTCGTGGATGTGCAGCGAAGCCTTATGAGGAGTTTAGGGGTCTGATCATGGACGAGCGTAAGTAATGGCTTCCTCATGCTCTCTCTTTTCCTTGAGAGCCAGAGTTGGGCATGCACAATACAACAACGACAAGCCCTGGATCTTGAAATTTGGCTGGTTTTTTTTTTTTTCCTTCTTTTTCCCCCCCTCTCTTCCTTATGGTTGAAGGTGTCCACTTGATGAAGCCTGGGATAAGCCTGGTTTCTGACTGGATGCACTAAATGTCACGGGCCAGCCCAGGTCTATTGCCCCCCAAGTAGAAAGGCCGACCGGCCCAGGGATAAGGCACCCAAAGATTTTTCACGATGCCCTCATTTGGGAAAGTGGATCTTGATTGTGGCGCACACACACGCCCACAGATAGAAATAGTTTGTAGACACCTTATCTTTGTTGCCTCTCCCTTTGGTGCACGTCGACTGTGAGATGGCCAAGGGGTTTTTTCTTTCTTTTCTTTTGGCCTCCCCCTAATGACGCTTGCCAAATCTTGATATCCGTGACCCGCCCTCCCGGTCCTTTGTTCCCTTTTTGCTTACCGGTATCCGTAATCTGACACCGAATATTTGCCCCGCTTCCATTCATCTTATATCCGCACGCCGCTGTTTCGCTGGGGGCGGGCACAACAAACCATCCGCCGTACAGACCAAGAGGAGCCGAGCCGAGTCGAGTCGAGACGGGCCAGATGAGACCAGTAGCGCATCCGCTGCCGCCATCGAGCAGCCTCCCGCCCTTGCGGACCTTGGACCGGCTCTCTGAAGCCGACATCACGTCTGCCCTGCACAGCCTATCCATGATTTATTGCTCGTTGCCCGTCTCGGTCGCCTTCCAGCTCACGCCCGAAACACAAAAGCCCGCTCATCATGACACGTCCCTAGCTGACTCGGGTTACGTATCCGAGACGGAAGATGATCACGAAGAGATCGACGGTCTCGACCATCACGTGGCCGCCCTTAAAGTTGACGCGTTCGAGCGTAGCTTCGCGGAGCGCTGGCTGACGGGCTTCATTGCTCGAGCCGAAACCCTTTATTGCTTCGAGTCCGACGAGGCATGCCAGCACGCCCTTGACCAGGCTTCCTGCGTGCTCGAGTCTTTTTTCGCTGTTCCCAAAGACGATGACGACCAGAACGGCCAGAACCAGGATTATGCGCGCAAATTCGCCTTTGATCTCGTTCTTCCGGGTTCCGACACGTTGCGGGCCAGCGTTCCCGTCACAGTGCGGCTCAACGATCGGTTGGCGGGCACAAACTCCGCAGACCCCGACGACGTTGGTCTCCAAAGCTGGGGCGCCTCGATCCTCTTCTCGGAGATCATGTGTGCTTCGCCCGCGTGCTTCGGCCTGGCGCAGCCTGGACTCGGCCCCTCCCCTCGCGTTATCGAACTAGGCGCAGGTACCGGACTTGTCAGCCTGGTGCTCGGGGGTATGCTGCCGCATCTGGGGGCCACAAGTCCGACCATTGTCGCGACCGATTATCACCCGGCGGTGCTCGAGAACCTGCGGTCCAACGTGTTGCTCAATTTCCCAGCTTCCGAGGTGAAACACATGCAGACCGCAGCTCTTGACTGGTCTGCGCCTGTGTTGGAAGCGCCTTTGGATGTTCCTGCAGACATCATTATTGCAACGGACGTCATCTACGCTCCTGAGCATGCAGTATGGTTGCGCGACTGCGCGGCTCGCTTGCTGGCAACAAATGGTGTCTTTTGGCTTATGGTAACTGTTCGTCGGAACGGCCGCTTCAACGGCGTCAGCGACAGCGTGGAGGCCGCGTTCATGGAAACCCATGACCCCGCACGGGCAGACGGGAAAAGACTCACGATTGTTCAGTCTGAGGAACTAGAGAAGCGCACCGGTGTTGGGCGTGGTGACGAGAGTGGATACAAGCTTCTTGAGATCCGCTGGGCATGATACGGCGTTTAAAGGGCATTAGACACAAGACATAAACATGAAGGTTCATGGCATCGGTTTAGCATGAGATACGAGACACGATGGTAAAATATACCTACATTAGAGTAGATTATACATAGAGGCGACGTAGATTAGTTACATATCCCGGCAAAAGGTAAAATGCAACTGCCAGCATTGCAGTGTCACCTACACCCGTGTCCACTTCAGCCCTTCCTTGCGACCTAATCGAGGTAAAAGTAGGATAGACAACAGAATGGTTTTGTTTGTTTTCTTCCATTACCCGGCTGGCCTGGATTTGGGAGACTGTACACTAACAGAAGTCGGCAGGAGTCGACAGAACAGGGAGCGATCCTCATCGGTACCAGGCCTCCAACATAGCAAAAAAAAAAAAAAAAAAGACGGAAGAAACAAACGGACGGAAAAGGGGGGGTGGAATGGGGGTTCGGAAAAGAAATAAAAATAGCCCCCCCGGGGAAGCTGGGGGTGGACGCCGAGCCAAGGACGCGAACGCGTCTCAGACGCGCCGATGTCTTTCAGAGACAACTTTCCAGCAGGATCTCCTCCACAACCCAAACCATCCAGCCAGCCATCTGTGTATATCTTCATTTTGTCGCCGCTGTCATGCCTCGAGGAAGATGTCTGGCCAAGCTTGCCGAGCAAGGTATGAAATTTCTTCGTACCATTCACGTTGCTTTGAGAAGCGATAATTACTTCTTGCACAGCTTGATAAAAGTTGATGCACTGTATCAATATCCGATGTTGACGTCAGCCACCTAAAGCAGATTTTCCCTACGACGCCATCAAGAAGATCCTCGCACATTCCCTCGATCCCGATACAGCACTTGTGACCCTCACCGTCCTCGTCAAAGGCGCACGCGAGGACATCTCGGAGTGGGATGTTCAGGAACACCGGCCAGCTCTTCTCTTTGATTACTGGGCGAGCTTCAAAGGCAGGACCCGTCAAGACGTCCTCGGTATCGGAGAGCTGTATCACCCCTTTAAATTCTTGCGACACCGTCGCGTCCGAGGCCAATGGCAGGTGCTCGTTCAGTGGCTCGGATACTCAACCGAGGGAGAGGATGCGTCTTGGGAGCCGGTCATCAAGATGCGCACTGACGGACCCGGTGTCCTGGCCGACTATTGCGGATATGTGGATGACGAGAGTACGAAGGCAGCTCTCCTAGGGCCGATTGCCCTCACAGACGGCACTGGGGACCTCGTATCTGCCAATGAAGACTCCAAACCGTCTGTCAGGACTCCTGTGCCTACTAAGCAAACAACGAAGCGCAAGAGAGGGAGTCTAGCCGAGCAGTCCGAACCTGTTGGTGACAAGCGCCGACGATGTAAGTATTCATGCAGGTGCCTAAACATTGCACAGCTGCTAATAAAATCCCATAGCCTCCAGGTATGACTCGACGTCCGCAATCAAGTCACCCGCCCCCAAACCGTCTGCTTCGAAGAGAAGACAATCCCACGTCCCTCCTGACGCCTCGATCCCGCCCCAAATGACACCGAAATCGCCCACCTCCACCAAGACGCAAGAGAAGCTTCCCGTGAACGCCACTGCCAGTGTCGCACCCTCACCCGCTCCGTCGCAACCTCAATCGAGACGCAAAAGCTCTCGAGCAGCTTCTGTGGCAACTCCCGGTGCCCCAGCACCACAACGTCTTAGCCCCGCCGATGTCCCCCGGACGATGCTGTGGTTCATGGACGACTTCACGGTCGGCGATATGCAAAAGGTCTGCCGCTTTATCGACGAGCACTGCACGGGGAAACTCCGCCTTCCTCTCTACAGCGGCGGCGATTGGGACGGCAAGACTGCCAGTGGAAGGTGGGAAGACGTCTTCATGGTGAGCCCACTTGGTCGCCTGGGTCGATACGATAACGAGGATGAAAAGGAGGATTGATACCGATGTTGGATAAGGCCGTGAACGGGACAGGATCGGTTCGTGGTACCGAGGTAGTTGCTCAGTGCGTTACAGTCTCGGCTGGGGTGTCCACGATGATGGTACGGCGGCACAGCTGGTGGTCCTTTACCGCTGCACCCTCCCATGAGCAGGGAACCTCGAACAAGCAATGCTTGGGACATCTTGGGTACCTACTATGAGTTATGACGCATTATATCCATCCTGTCGTTCGACTGCCTGTTCGAAGTGCAACTTCATGTCTTCCCTTTAAAGCTGCTCCATACCAGGCATGATGCCGTTTCAACGGGGTGGTGGCAGTAATGTCCAAATCAGCCAGACATTGATCGACTTCGAGGCAGAAACTGCGCGTCAGATGTCGATCAAAGCGTTCTGCCTTTGCTCATAAGATCAGTGGAGCAGGCGTTCCCGCCATCACAAGTTTGTTTACTCCCAAACAGTCATGTTTGACACTTCGGTTTATTCAAAGCTGTTTGGCAACGGGATCTCCCTTCACCTGACGGCAATTTCCGGTCGGAGGTATGAGGAGAATTGGTGCATTCTCTTCAGCCAAGCCATTTGGCCGGGTCTCGCACCGTATCAACATCGTCTTAATGTACCTGTCGCTCCTGTGCCTGATGGGCGGATACGAGTGGATGTACCGGACCGTCGGCAACACACTCGGACTCATCCCGGCTTGCGGCTATCCGCATACTAGGTTGGAAATTTTTGGGCATGTAGTCTCGAAGGTTGCACCATTAGAATAACTCGGGGCAGCTGTGAATAACCAGTCCGTCCCTCTCTTCGAGGAGGCGACATGTCCAGCCCCTCCAAACATTCACTTCCTGTATCACTGACCCATCAACTTATTTAAAATGCACCGATCTCTTGATAACATTGCTCCCTGAACCCTTTCCCACCAACCTCGATAATAATACAATCACGGTCAATGGACTCAACACAGTATATGGCGGCATTCTACGCACCTAGTCCGCCTCAAAGGCCTCATAAGCCACTAGGAAAGGTTGCTTTCATAGGAACAGGAGGTACCATTTCATCCGAAGGTCATGACAAGTACGACCTCCTCGACTACAACGCGGATGGAGGACGTCGTAAACGCCACGATGCTCAATATATCATCGATAAGACCGGCATCCCTGCCCTTGCCGACGTCGAGGTTATAAACATTGGGCCTATCGACAGCACCGAGATCAGCACCAATCACTGGCATATACTGGCTGATATATGCTGCGTTCTGGCCGATGATCCCGAGATTCGCGGTATTGTGATTGGGCACGGAACAGCAAGCCTAGAAGAGACTGCGTGGATTCTGTTCCTAGTCCTGAATTTGAAGATACGGATCGTTATCACTGGGTCTGTGCGCCCTTTGACTGGTATTTCTTCGGATGCGACGGCCAATCTTACTGCCGCTTTTCGTGTAGCCGCTCACCCGGTCCTTCCAAATGAACCTGCCGGGGTGTTAGTTGTGGCCAACGACGAAATTCATTCTCCCCGCTATGTTACCAAAACTCACACCCTTCGACTTGGCACCTTCAATTCACCTTGGTTGGGTCCCATCGGTTACGTTGATGGCGAGGATGTTAACATGGTCTCGAGGCAGGCAAGCCCAGCCAGCGGCCAGTTCCATCGCAGGATGCTAATTGGCGGCCTCCCACGCGTCGACATCGTATATAGCTACGTCAGCGCGGATGGAACCGCTATCAAGGCATTTGTCGCAGCTGGTGCAAAGGGTCTCGTCTCTGCCGGGTTTGGACCCGGTCTGGGAACCAGGCAAGAAACCCTTGCATTAGAAGAGGCGATTTCTGAGGGCGTGGTTGTGGTACAGTCTTCGAGACTTGGAGCGGGGAAGGTTGTGGACAGCCAATGCCATAGAAAGCTTGGTATCATTGCAGGGAACGATCTCAATCCGCAAAAAGCCAGGATTCTGCTTTCTCTCTGTCTCTCTCGCGGAGACGATCAGAAAACGATTGAGAGAGTGTTTGGTTGCGTTTAGTTCGAATTGATTTGGGCTCTATTTATCAATCTACATCACGCACCTTGGGTACATGCACAACAGGTAGAAAATGGTCATTATCGTTAGACAGACACCACTTACACTGAAATCCTTGCCTACCGTGTAGTCTGCCAAACGTTGTCTACTTAGTAAGCATAGTGGCGATTCTTTCTATGTTCCGAATGCTCAATATTGATGTCAATTATTTGAATCGTCATACACCCAGTATACCGTAATGCTTCTAAGGCATCATCCACTGTAAAGTTTTAGTATTGCGTTCTGCTCATAAAGTAGTGCCCGCTATTTCTTTTGTGAGGGAATTCAGAATGCAATAACTAGTGAGTTAGTGGCTATGATACAAAGTAAAGGGAAAACAATACCCACGATCAAAGTGTGATGTTTTCTACACGTCTCGAACATGGCATGAAACCGACTTAAGGAGGAAATGCACAAGTAGTGACACGGTTTTACAAACAAACCGCAATGAGACACGTGCAAACTCATTTGGTCAAGGCGGAGAGATAGCTTCAAGGAGGTATGGGGACCTTGTAGAGCGGGAAGATTGACTAGCAATCCCTGCGGAATGAGTAGCAACTTGAAATACAACTGGGGCCAAATCCGGTTTGTCAACTCAGTGGCTCAGGGATTTTATGCTACACTGAACTGCACCGGAGACCCGGTCTCCGTCTCCAGGGCCCTGGAATTGGGCCGGCTGGCCCCCTTGCTTTAGCATCTTGTCCCCGATAATTCGGTTCATCCGAGCGATGTTTCCATGGAGCGGCGGCTCAAGGTTTCTGGGGTTGTGTTTCAATCTCTACATCAACTAGCCATGCTCCCAAATGATGTGATAAACGTAAAATTAAATATCTACATCTGGCGGCACATATGGTGTTCAGCTTAGGCCGAAATCTCCGGATGACAGGTATGGTGTTACTTTCTATTTATCCAGAATTGATAGAAGTACTGTTCTCAGATGTTTAACCACTTTTCCGTCGCCTGATATCAAATGGCGGCTGATCCCTGTCCGCAGTTCAATGACTTCATATCATACGTTGTTCCCCTTTTCTTCAACCTCGATATTCCTTTCTCCATCTTGACTTTGGGACTTGGTGTCTTTGGCCCCTCCCCCCTGGTCCGACTGCCCCTTCTCTTGAGAATCTGGTTCAGCAGGCATCAACTCTGGCTTTCTCGTCCTCATCTCTCTTCGCAACAGCTCAATCTCAATCACTATACGTCCATCACCATCGAACTTCTTTTGTAAGCAATCTCCATCGCAGTCGAAATACAGACCCCAAATACCACCTTCTTCCAGAACTGCACAGAAGCCTTCCCATCCACACAATGTAACTCGTCGGTCTTGACGAGTGCATTCCCACGGCCCAGTCAGATTTCCATCCGCTGCCGCCCGATTCCCAAAGCGAAGTTGGTAGCTAACCGGATCTACGAATATCCAGTTCATGATTGGCGCTTCATGTGTGATTGTGCTAACCAAGCCTGAGAACCGAGACTCCGGATAAGGGAGGTAGTATCCCTCAAAAGGATGGCCGAATGGGACATCGTGGGCGGTGCCAGTGTCTACAAACAACTGGAATATTAATGCCGTTAGATTGACAACCCATCCTAGAAATGTACACAGCAATTCATAGCTTACTCTATCACCGGATAGCACTACTTGACGACCTTCGAGATAAGGGCTGAATTGAGAGGATTTGGGGCAGTGAACGACGAGATTGTTCTTTCGGCTCCGATGCTCTTCTCGACGCGACTTCGCCATGGAAGCTTTGATGCCTTCGGACGCCCCTACAGCGGTACCGAAACTGATCAGGAGAGAAAGGACCATTTCCACGTCGACAAGGAATGGCACAACTCGAACGTACGAGGCACAAGTAAGACTGTAAGAGATCTGTATCCCCAAACCTGCTTGAATCAATGCGGCCCAGGGAGTGGAGAAGTTGATAACCCGAAAGTGACGACCAACACCAGACTGCATATCTCTTTTTGCTCTATAGTATGGTTTGTGATAAGTGTTAGTAATCAAAACAACAGCCCATCAAGGGGGGAAAAGGAAGACAACTGTAGTGGCGACGGTCTCAGAAGCACGTGCACATTTGGTTCCAAGCCAACTTCATTGCGCGGATTGTTTCAGGCCTCGAAACCCCGGAAACTCATAAAGATTGACAGCCATCGACTGATCTTTGTGAACCTTGTTGGCAGGCCTCGAACAATCGGCATGCCGTGGTTTCGTCCAAAGATGCACGACGCAATTCCCATGCCGGTCCCTGATCCGATGGTTGAAACTCTCCGGTACATGGGTCGTGACATGGTTCAAGTGGATGCAGGACCCTTGCCGATGCTCCTCTGAGAACACCCTGAGACGCGCAAGAGCCCCGGTACACCCCACAAACGTTCTATCGACTCACCCAAATCGTACCATGCCATGCCACTTTTCAGATGTTGTGGAAACACGTACGGTACACCGCATGAACTGATCTCACTGGTCGACACGTTCTGGCCAGAATTGACAAAGCACAACGCAATATACAATCCGAGCGGCTAGTTTCAATATCGGACGATGCCGGATTGTTCTTCGGACTAATCACCACTCTGTAACAAACTGCATGGACGGAGGAGGGTGTTAGCATCAAATAACTATACCGGGCTCTGTCGGCGGTGTTCGGAAAGGAAGCTTAAAGCTCACCATGTTCCCACTCCAAGATGGCAAACCAGACTGCATCTCAATCTCAAAAAACACAGAGCACCAAGACACCTGAACGGAACGAATCAGTGGGAGCAGGTTCCCCCATCGCCACCATATCACCAAAAACCGAGTCTCAGCAGCCGCAGCCACCACCAATCCCCAAGAGACCGAATCACGCCCCTCGATCTTCAAGTAATACCTCGTCAAAGCGTGTTTCTATTACACCAAAACCAGCAGATTCTCCAGCTCATTCCACACCCACCGACGAATCCTCTGCTGCACCAGGAGTCCTCAGAAGATCTCTTTCTTTCAAGATCCCAATTCGAGTCGCAACAGACAACTTTCCGCCTGCCAATCGTTCTCGCGCGCAATCCCTGCCTCACCAACAACCGCAAGAACTTCACACCCTTGCTCATAAACGCCGCAGCTCAAACCGAGGTTCTCTTTCATCAATCGGTGAATATCGACCCACGCCAAATCTCGATAAATCTCCAGCCCAAAGTCAATCGCCCGAGTCTCTTTCGGAACAGTTTTTGAAAGAACGTGGACTTCTCAATTCTGAGCCGGTTGACGAAGCAAGTTCACCCGAAGAATTACAGCATTCTTTGCAAGATCAAGTCTTCAAATATCTAACCACCATGTCTTCCAAGTACGACTCCATAAGTTTAATTTCACCCCATCAACCGGCTAACGTGCATAACCTTATAGCGCGAAATCAGCAACGACAGCCGAGGAGCAGTCTCGTGCCCCGGCTTACCCTACTTCATACCCACCAGCCAACACTGGATCGAGGGGAAACATGCAAACTTCAGGCCTCCCCGTTCCGATGCCGAACCTCTCCGGCAATGCAAACGGCCCAGTCGGTAAATCTACCTCCCTTAAACCGCATCCTTTGCTTGTCACTGACATGTACTACCAGGCAACCTCCTCAAGGGCCCGGTTGACGAAAATGGCAAGTTGACGAGCGCAGCTCTCATGGTAGGCATCAAGTTGGACCTTGAAGCCGAAGTTCATTTGACTGCGCGTGTCCGTGGTGACATTCTTGTTGGTCTTTATTAAGCAAACAACAATCTCTGCATCCGAGTGTTTCCTATGGAAGGTGAATTCCCAGGTGCCATGAAGTGGCTCAGGTATCAAGGTGCATCCCCAACAGCCGGGAAGAAAGTCAATTGAGCGAGTGTTAAGATGGGTTTAGCTGAAGCATAGGAGTCAAGTTACGGAATTTCACATCTGGTCGCAACGCATATGTATGGGGACAAAAAGTAGATGTATACCAATGTAGATCGACAAGCTTGATTTCATGTAATTCGGCAATAGTGTATACAATGTATAGCAAACCAAGATATTGTGATATCTTTAGGGAATTTTCAATCAGTGGCGTTGACTCATAACTGCTCGGACTGAACTTCAGGGCATGGCTCTGACATTGGTACTGGCTGTCAATTATTTCCAGTCAGAATCATAGCTCGCCTATATGATGTTCTAAGTTATCAAAGTTATATATAACAGCCTTCGCACCGCTACCTTGATAATCTCCTATTGCGCTGTAACCCTAGGCTACCCATTGTATAAAGCGGTCATACACGTATACTACTGTACATCTGTGGCAGTCATAACTGGTAGTGGCTACACGACGCTATGATATATCCAGTTTTACTTTGTATCTGTTGGAATATAGATAGTCATGTGACTGCTAGCTAGATATATATATCTAGCCGGCTAGCAAACAGATGTATCTGATTTTTCCCTTCTTTACTAATTAATTTTACAAGCACTGTTTTTACCTACGTTATAACTATATTACTATAGGTTAATTTATTCCTATAATACTAATACTAATTAGTAGTTAACTTTATAGTTACTACTATAGCAGTAAGGATTATTAGAAGAGGCCTATAATACTTTACTTATTAACTATAACTTAGTCTAAAGTACTAAGTGCTACCTAGCCTAAAGACTATTAATACCTAGGATCTTATAATACCTAGTAAATAACCCTTTAAGCCCTACGTCTGTTATATAAACAACTACTACTATTAACTTTGTTGCCTTTAGAGAAGTCCCCTTTTACCTCTACTAAGCAGAGCCTACTACTTATTTAACCCCTTTAATTCTCTAAGGGCTGCCAGATTCAGCTTCTTCAGACCTCTAACCTAGCGGCCAAGCGGGTGACAAAAAAAGATGCACTCAGTAAAGTTGACTTAAGGTGACTTGTGCCTAAGGAATCAACCAAATGTTACTGGGCTAGATTACTAAAGACTACTTGCATATCCTAAATTGTAGAGCATAGGTACCTGAAATGGGCCCTGCACTTTTGTGAGTGCCTCTTTTTTTGTCACCCGCCTGGCGGCCTATTACAGCCCATCGCAGGCCTGGCCCATCAAGCCCATCACTAGCCCAGCTGCTAACTAATTACAAGTGTAGCAGCCTATCTAACAGACAATATAGGGATATAGGATACAGGATATAGGGGATAGGAGGTATTTAGAGGCAGCTTTCACAACACATAAAAGTTGCTAGTATTAGGATATAGATAGTTATGTGACTGCTAGCTAGATATATATATCCAGCCGGCCAGCAAACAGATGTATTTAATTTTTCCCTTCTTTACTAATTAATTCAACAAGCACTGTTTTCACCTACGTCGTGACTATATTGCTATGGATCAATTTATCCCTATGATACCAACAGTATCCTGGCTTAATAGAACATATATTTCTTAGATATTATCAGCAGTCAAAGTTCACCACAGGAACATTCTGTTGTAAACTTAACTAGAGCTTAATGAAGGGGAAACACAAATTCGAACACGTTAACTCTAAGCAATAACACTTGTGCATGTATTCCCGAAATCGGAAGATATTACCAGGATAAGTCATGACAGATTACCTCAGCTTCAACCACATCCTCATTTAATACTTATAAATTGTGAAAAAATAACTAGCTTGTCTGACCCATTAATATCATAGCTCCTTTCGTAGGACTCGTCAATCCTTCTTTCGCGGAATTCTTCTCTTCCTTTAAGGAAGGTTCTGTGGGGCGTAGCTCTGGTCAGGGCTGACAACTTGGCCATTACTGAGCTGCTTGTCGGTGTAGGCGGGCCAGACAATTAGCTTCTGGTCAGTGACCGAGAGTGTGGTGAAGCCAGCATTGTCACCGAATTGGCCGCTCCAGCCGGAGGTGACAGTGTAGACTCCACACTTGGCGTTGGAGGGGGCCCGGCTGGCAGGAGAACCAGTGGTGGTGAACTTGCAAGCAGTTGGGTCCGTCGTGTGAGTGTTAATGGTGAAGCTGTAGTCGCAAGCTGTATTCTCTGGATTGCATGTGCGGACGAAACTCTCAATCGTCCATTCGGCGACACCGTAAGCCATCATAGATTTGACCTCCCGCTTGGCGATGGGAGAGCCAGAGACGGCAGTCGCGGCAGCCAGAACGGGTAGGAAGATGTTGGTGATCTGCATCTTGAAGTATGTGGTCAATGTTAACGAGAAATAATAGCTTTGGGGATTTCGATAATAGTGTTTACGGAATCGTTTATAGTGTGTTAAGGTATAAAGGACTGGCATCCCGAACCTTGAGGGGAATGTATGACTTAAGTAGTCATAGAACTAATGCCAAGGATCATTTAACCACATAGACGAATATTAGGTAGAAAAGTATAACTGGGTGTAAGCAATTCCATAGTCATCGAATTGTCAATAGGGTAACGTTACTATCGTATCGCGAGTTACCTTGTCGATGATCCACGAACGTTCCCTTCGCCACTGCCCAGCGCTCTGCACATCCCTCCCATCGTTCCGGCACCCCACCACATGCCTACAATTACAGCTATTAATTGATCTCGGTATACCTGGACATGACATTATAAGGTATGTATATGCATTCATTGCCAAACTTGTGGTACAGTTTCCCCGATCGCCAGATTGCTTGCTGCTAATATTTCGCAATCGTTATGTCATTACACCTCGAACAGCAGTTTTCCTCCCTTGACCTGAGAGTTTACGACTCCTGGCCCCAGGCTTGTCAGGTCTTAGTTTTGTTGGCGAAATACAAAGTACAGGAATGGATAGTCAGCGAGACGTTTTCAATAATCCTCCAATGATCTCTGTGCTACTTCTCGTATTCAAGGTCGCGTGCGCTCTGTTTTCTGGGGCGGTGGACATAAACTATAAGCGCATGACGCAACCCCAGCATTAATACGAGCGCTAAATGCCAGTGCCAATTAATCATAGCAAGTCATAACTACAAGTTTCAATCTGCTTGCGGGGAACCGATGCATCCAACATCTCCTCGGTCCGCCGCCATGCCACTCCTGCTGATCTGATCTGCGTGAAAATAGATTGATATTTACTAGTGCTTCCACAAACGCTAAGTTTAGTTCACGGTGTTGCCCGAGAGTTAGTCTAGTTGATTGATGTCAGGCTCTTCGCTCGGGCGATCCTCCCCAGTTTTCTTTGCCTGCCATTCAATGGGTCTTAGCAGGTGCTCGTATACCTGTGTAAGGTGTTGGGCCAACCACGAACCACTCCATGATGATCAGCAGGGAGCAGATTTTGTGATTGGCCAGGGTATGCTCACTATAATGTTTGAATATTCCGATTTTCGTTGCATACAGGTGAGGTAATTGCTTGCGTCGCTTGTGGCCCGTGGGAACATGCCCGGGGACGAATAGGGTATAAGGCAATACGACAGGCACAGTATTGTTCTGTTAAAACTTACAACCCAAGGCCATAATCTCAGCCGCCAATTAGTTCATACCAGATTCGTTGCTGCCCCCACCATCTGCGGCATGTTACGAGAGTCGTCCTGTCGCCCTTGGATACGAGTATGAGCGTGGGCTTCGGTTCGAAACTGAAGCCGGACTGTCAGCCATGTATTGGATCTTCTCGGGCATGAAGGCGTCTTTGAAACTGGACATCTTCTGACAAATAGCAAGTATACAAGCTTGTTCTAAATTTGAGATGAGAACATAAGTATAGACATTGATTTTGTTTGTCTCGAGCTAGAAACCATTACAGACCGTTGAGAGCGGCGGGCATCGGGCGTTCTCCTAATATGATGCCGGGAAATAAACAACATAGCCTCATCCGGGAGCCAAACAGTTCCAAGTCGCCCAATCTCCTAACAATCTCAGGGATCGAGATACCGGCGTTGCAGTCGCAGTAATAACCTTCCATGAATCAGTACGACATATGCATGCGTCCCACGAATCCTCGTGCATTATTCCTTCAACAACCTCTTTACGCAGCCAACACGTAGCCGTCCTTGTGTCGGTCACATAGTTGAAAGCTGTGATCATATGCACACCCTCTTCTCGCAAACGTTTTGCATAATCGAATCCATCCCCTTCTTCATCGTCTCGGAGGAGGCCCAGGAGATCAAGCTTTCTTGAGCCGACCATGGCCATGTTAATGAACATAACATTGAAATGAGGAGCTCTGGTGAGCTTCTCAACGAACTTCGGAAATGAAATGCTGCATTCTAGGATTTCGCCCGGATTTACCAATGTGCTTGGAGGAGTGACGATCCCGAAAGGCAAGAGGCGTCGCCAGAGGCTGAGCAACGTGGTGAACTCGGCTTTCCATGGACTCAAGCTGATTTTGCGTTGCTGGTAGGACGTTTTAAGGTCATTCGGATGAAGTACTAACTTCCGGGGAGAACGTGCAGTTGTCGTGATGCTGCCCTCACAGATGCTTGCAAGCACGTCTGCAAGCCAGTGCGCTGGATATCCAACCTCATGCAGACGGACCACAATCCTGAAAAATGCAGTCAAATTTAGCGGAGCATGAACTGGGCTATCACTCCACAGGGGGCGAGGATAGGGAATGCAGATCTTGAGCAAGTGAGAGTGCAGCCATTTTTCCAGAGCAGGGCGTGTCATGAGACGGGACAATGGCGTTTTCTTGGAGCCAGAACGAGACCAAATGAAGTAGTCTTCGGTCATAAACTGATTACCGATCATCTTCGCAATAGGGTTTGAAATGACCCCGCCAGTTTCTTTCTCTTTTACCAGCCCGAAGTGATCGGCCACCTGCTTGGCGTCGTACATGAGTATATACTCTGTCAGAAACTGATCGTGTGTTTCGAACATGGGTGGATTGAGCAGGTTATTGAATCTTAGATTTGACGGTCTGTCCTCACGAAGAAGAGGGCCACCATACAGGAGGGCGGCTAAAGGTCCACCGACGTAGTCCCTAGATCCACAAAGTCATTAGTTGGGACGCCTTAGTATGGTAGTGCAGTCCTATAGTCAACTTACGGGATATTGCTCATGTGAATCCTGTCATATTGCCGCGGAAACTTAGTTGCATCGATAGCCCCAACCTTTAGGGGCTTCTGAGAGCGATGCCCGAAGCCGTCGTACCGTATTCGCTCCAGTGTATCGGCCATCTCACCAGCGATTGCCTCGATTTGTACATGCTGCAGGAGTGTCATAGTCGCGGTAGCAAGGGTCTCGAAGAACCCATCGAGACTTTCCAGCACGTCTCCATCCTCCGGTTTAGGCCTTGCAGGGTTGTAGATACTCTGCATGAGCTGTGCGGGGTCCAACTCAATTGATGGAGTGAACTTCCTGGGAGGGGCACTGGTATCAAGCACATCATCGCGGCGGGCCTCATAGTCCATATCCAGAAGTGTTGGATTCGTCTTCCAATGGGAGTCAATGTAGCCTTCCAGGATCTGCTTGGCACCTTGAACATTGGATCGAAAAGCGTCAAGCAAGGGTCGTAGTGCTGGCTCTCGTCGTCCGATAAAGACATCTCCTGCGAAGAGAACCCCGAGTTCACGGAATTCTTTGGTACTGTCCTTGAGCGCTGTCTCGCCAAAAAAGTACTTTTCGACGGTGATGCATCCGCAAGAAGTTGTTTAGCACAGCTGGCCGCAAGTTTTTGAGAGCATAGTCGTCTGCAAGAGGCTGAATCCATTGCTTTAGCTTCTTGATGATCTTGTTTCGGGTGTCTCTGGGAATGAAGAATATCTCGAGAACATCTCCTTCTCCCTCGAGCTCATCAATCACCGACTTGACGTGTTCCTCTAGTTTCTCTGCAACAAACGCAGGGACAACTGCAGAGGAGTAGATATAGCTCATGACGGTAAGAGCATCTTCGATGCGTGGCATTTTCGCGCACCTCATGATAGCATACCGGATGACCATGTCAAGGATAACAAGAGTTCTTGCTAACGCAGTAGCGTTGATGTCCAAAATGGTGAAATGGGCTTTGTTGAACAGCCTGTTTTCTCCTTGGCTCAGGCCACTGAGACCCAGGAAAACCATTGTGGCAAACAAATGCCGAGCATCACCGCTGCCACAAAGCAGGAAAGACACGTCCCCGCGAGGTCCCACAGCATGCCACAATGGCTCATCCCATAGAGGGTATGCCGTATCGTGGCCCACAGCATAGTACTCAGGGCGGTCTTGTCTTCTCAGAGGTCAGTCGAGGTCTCGAATGTCAACGTTTGAGGAACTTACAGTTGGCCCTTATATAGAGGTAGGCGGTCCAGAACTTGTTGTCGTAGCTCGCCCTTGCTGGACATGCTTGAAATCTTATGCATATCCTCCAACGTCGCTCGCATCGCATGTGCAGAGCTATCGTCGTGAAGGGAAGTCACCGACTTCTCAGCATCATCAAAGGAAAGAGAAAAGAGATGGCACTTGGCCATTCGTGTATAGAGCTTCTGTTTCTTTGGGCTAGAGTCAGGCTCTTCGGCAGACAAAGATAAAGCCTTTTCTATGTTGTCCAATGCAGTACTATAATCACCCTGCTCGAACTTGATGGCAGATATATTGGACCATGGGGCCGGGTCCTTGGGAGCTAAGGAAGCGGCTTCTCTGTACGCTTTCTCCGCTGCCGGGGAGTCATCATAGATGCAAACACTAGCAATTAAGGGATCAAAATACCTTCAGCAAACAATCCTCGGCGATAGAAGCCGTTTCCACGCTCCCTGGCCGCTGTCGATTCTTGTAACTCATTCGGAGACGGCATTTTGGGGGCTATGTAAGTAATTCAATATCGCGTGCCTCAATGTGTCGCGGGTTAATAGATCAATTGTGACGAATGAGAATGAGGCACTAGAAGACAAAAGTTGATCCACAATTGCCGTGCTGCAATTGTGGCTTATATCACCTTGTGACACACCCCCTCAGATCTGCTACCATACGTTGTGGCACTCTTTAAACCTTCTGATCGGGTACATCTCGCCGAAATCTAGGTGGTAAATCTCCTGCAGTCTGTCTAGAGGACTTTGACGGGAATCAAACCCGTAGGGTAACATTGTCTTGTGATGCCTTACAGCACGCTTAAACCATTCAGGCACAGAGTCAGGGTTAAGTAGAGCTGGGCTTATAACTGTGACGAATGAGAATGAGGCACTAGAAGACAAAAGTGGATCCACAATTGCCGCGCTGCAATTATGGCTTATATCACCTTGTGACATCAATAAACAAGTTTGCACCATTACGCGTTCTCCAAGTTGTTGTTTCGCAAGAAATGGCAGTGCATGAGCCTCTTGACCGCCTGAATCTGACTAATCATGTTGTCAACGAATCATGTTAGGGACTGTCTATTTCCTCCAACTAATATCCGTACCTGCCAGGCCTATCTACAAGGGGCAATATTAGTCCGCTGGCGTCTGTGCTCAACATCCACCGTACGTCGGTAAGGAGTTTTATCGTTTTCTTTTAGCGCAGTAGAATGCTGACTAACACCCTTGGGTAATAACTAAACCCCCCAAGACATCTCACCAATGTAGTACTTCAACAGGTCGGTTTCGTAAGCAGCCACATCCCGACCTTGCGCTAGTTAATATCAAGTCAAGCATTTACTGACAACTTTTAATAGTATCAATTGAATTAGGCTTGAGATACTGTGATGGAGACTTGTTCAGTCGCTGGCAAAGACCTTGTTTACGCGGCGTCAAGAACATAAGTATGGGCTTCGCGTGGGACAACCAGTAAACTCCTACGCAACGTCACGTTTGATTTATAACGAGATCCTGGTAACAGGTAGGCGTGCGCGCACAGGAATGACAATTCCCTGGCTTCTGATGACAAGGCCCTCACTCTCAGAGAGAAGTATGTGCGTATGTAGGAGTGACTTGACTGATGACCACTTTGCTTCTGATCAGAAGTCAGAGGTGTTAGGTATGGCTTTCGGTGAGGTCAAACGGCACAAGCCCTGCGCGAGCATAAAGGGATCAACAGGAATTTGGGGACCCTTTTACTATTAATAGAAAGGCTTGTCACGTAGTCTACAGACTATGGGTGTCTATGACCGGGAAGAAGCAGTAACCTTGGAGACGCAAACTTCACGTCGGGATACGTCGCTAAATGGCAGTCGGAGCCGAGGTCAGAGGAAATGAGAAGGTTGCTAGTAAAGCAGAGAAATCTCTCTGGCTTAGTCTGGTTCACTCACCGATAAAGTTAGCATAATTCCGGTCAAAGGAAGATAATCGTTCCGAAAGCAGCTGGCGTGGGCCACCATCACATTGCAACTTTTTCGTTGGGCATGTGCATGTCGGCTGGAGATGCCACCCAGTTGTCAAGCCAACCAACGGAGAATTTAGATGCTGGTTGCATTAAAACAATAAGTGAAGATTGGGCAGTGTAGATGACCATTCGGAGACTGCTAATGACGTCTCGTAGCCTGCAACTGATGTCCGCCCGCACCCAGACTCCTGCGTAATCAATTGATCATCTCGTGTTTTCATGCACCTATCCGACCTATGAGTACTATGAGGGATGATTGACTGGTGATCTCCTACCTAGTGTTTTGTTCCAGAACCGGTGATTCGCGCAGCCATGGGTTCAAGGTTCAAGCGAGCTGTGGATTTGAATCCTGCTCAGATCCAGCCACCAATACCTACACGCTAGCTCTGTTGTCCGTAGTCTCTGCTTTTTTGTAAGAAATGCCTACGACATCCATGGTTCCCTTAGTTTTGCTCAGCTCAACCTCCTTCACTCATCTTCAAAAGCCGTTCTAGATGTTAAGCGTGAAACGTTTCATCGGTAGCTTGCTGGGCCTATCAGACAACCAGTGCTAGCTGAAAATCGTGCGACAACTCTTAAGCGCCTCGGCGGTCTCCCTGCCGCGTTCTCCAGCATTCGCCCAGTACCCTGCTTCGCCTGAGTCAGGTCCAGTGTCAACTTCAGATGTAAATGGCGGGCGCCGCCACCGTAACTTTTACGCGTATCCAGGTCTGTAACAGGCCCTAAGTCGCAGATTGAGAGTCCATCCTTTTGGGCAGTCACACTTAAGTTCGGCTAAGCCCGGATGTCCTCATATATCACCGTGGAATAATACTGTCAGGATATTCAACTGTTCAATAGTGGAGCCGATCCATAGTCACGTGATTTACTATTACGTAACTCACCCCAGCAGCTTACTTATACCACTATAAATATCTATAGTAATAACTTCTTCTTCTTTTTTATATTATCTATCTAAATAAGTAACTAGTAGTTAATTAAACTATTACTACTTTATAATTATAATCCCTATAATACTAATACTAATTAGTAGTTAACTTTATAGTTACTACTACTATAGATTAGTAAGGATTATTAAAAGAGGCTATAATACTTTACTTACTATAGCAGCTTAGATTAAAGTATTAAAGTGCTACCTAGCCTAAAAATTATTAGTACCTAGGATCTTATAATACTTAGTAAATAACCCTTTAAGCCTTATGTTTACTATATAATAACTACTATTACTACTATTAACTTTATTACTTTTAGAGAAGTCTTTTCCTTTATATACTACTTACTTACTAATAACCTTTATAGTATTTAGTATAATTATCTTCTTTTTATACTTAAGTTTCTTTAAGTTTTTTTTTTTTTATCTTTTAACTTTTTTTCCCTCTAATTATTAAGATTTTTATTTTACTAAGTTTTTATCTTACTATAGTAGTAACAGCCTATATAAGATTATAAGTAAATAGACTTTTATAAGTTCTTATTTAAATAAGATCTTACTAGTAGGACTAGCTATAAAGCAGTTAAGTAAAAACCACCTAAGTAATTTACTTTTAATATAGTATTTATAAGTAAATAGCTTTTACTAATCTTACCCCTATACACTTCTAATATTACGTTATTAGCTAGGTACAGCCTATAGTAATTATAACTCTTTCCCTTAACTAGATAATTAGTAGCTAAGCGTTACCTTTAGTAAGTACGCCTCTTTTTATTCTTTAAGTAAGGTAAAAAAGGCAGAGGTTACCTATATTACCTTAATTTACTTACTTTTTTTTATCTTTTAAATACTTATTAATAACTATACTATCCTCCTTACTTTTTCTTCTTCTTTAAGTAAAGTATAGTTATTAGTAACTAATATAACTTTTACTTAACTTTACTATCTTAATTAATTTAAGAAGACTACTTATTATTTACCCTTAAGTAAGGTATATAACCTTAACTTCTTACTTTTTTTCCTTTAAAAATCTTTAACTATAGTATTCTACTTACTAAAAAGTAAGGTCTATATATATCTCCTTTTAGAGATAGTATATATCTCCTCTTATTCTTTAAGCAAGATCTACTATAAGGCCTCTCTAGAGCTATCTTTTTACGTTACTAAAGTGTAAGGCCTCCCTAAAGCTATTTACTACTATCTATTTATCTATTATTTTATCCTTTTATTTACCTTATCTCTTACTTATAACTCCTTACGTTATATTATTTATCTACTTATCTTATTATTATTTATACTAATAGTAGTAATTCCTCTAATATATAGATTTACCTCTAACCCTATAGGTAAGGAGTAAGTGTAAAGGTATGGGTGGTGTGCCACGCCTGTCAATAGACTATTCTGGCATTACCAAAAGATCAACCAGTTCAGGCACTAAGTGCCTGAAATGCACCACACATGGCCTTATAAGGGTACCAGGCCAACCCCTTACAATTGCCCCCCTTCTAATGCGACGCGTCCCGAGTCGCTTCAGGCCCACGTGCACTGGCGCCGGTAACCGTGCGCTGGAGCACAAGGTCATGTTAACCCCGAAGGCCCTGGGCAGCCTGGCACCTGGCGACAGCTGGGGGGACCCCCGGCTGGCGCTAGGCATTGCCTCCCTGCACCTAGTCCCTCTGAGCCTAATGGCTGCCCCTCATTCATGCCCAGCTAACCAATCCACTGATTGATGACCTTCCAGCCCCTTAAGGCCTACACTAAAGAGAGCGTGCGCCCCTCATTCATGCCTAGCCAACCAATCCACTGATTGATGACCTTCCAGCCCCTTAGGGCCTACACTAAAGAGAGCGCGCGACAGTCAGGATTCGAACCTAGCCCCTGTCTAGCCAGAAGACCCACTTAGTGCCTGAACAATTGTAAAGGTATGGGTGGTGTGCCACGCCTGTCAATAGACCATTCTGGCATTACCAAAAGATCAACCAGTTCAGGCACTAAGTGCCTGAAATGCACCACACATGGCCTTATAAGGGTACCAGGCCAACCCCTTACAGTAAGTGCCTATGTTTAAGAGGTTAGTAAGGCTAATAGAGGGTAATAATAGTAAAAAAAGGACTAGGTAAAAGGTAAAGTAAACTACAGGCGCTAGCTAAGGTAAAGAAGTATATCTATCTATAAGATATTAAGGATCTATATCTTATCCTAAAGTATAGCTAGCCCTTTATTATTATATAACTATAGGGTATAACTAATTTAGCTAATATTCCTAACAGCCTTACCTAAGTTAAGTAATATAACGCCTTAAGTACTATTATTATACTTTAAATAATATAATATAGCTTTATATAGCTATATAGTTAATAGCTATAAAGATATACTACTAAAGACTTTAAAAAATAGTTACTTAATACTTTTAAAGGTACTGCCTATAAAACTATTATTAAATTTAGAGACTACCTAATATATAGGGGCGTATAAGTATTAACAGTAAAGTTACTAACTATTACTAAATAAATTTACTATACCCTTAAGGCTAATAATCTAAAGGTGTAGACACTTAAGGATATTAA